GATTTGCTGCCTTCAGAAATAAAAGAGGGCTACCAACCCCGGGAGCTGCTGCGTTACCTCCTCCTCCACCTCCCACCGCGTTACTCCCACCTCCACCCCCACTGTCATTAGGGCAGATCTTTGTTTAGAGGAATCTTCAGGTTGATTTCGGGCTTCAAAAAGAGCAGGGGCTCCAAACCGGTGACTAAAAAGGTTTCGAAGGGGTGGGGTTTTTTTAAAAAAATAAACGTCCCAGTAAAACCATAGGAATTGCCACACCAGATGAGACCGAGAGTCAATGGCTTTAAATGGCTTTAAAGGACAGGTCTGCAGTGAACTGGAGGGAGGGTGGGAAGGAGAAATCTCATTCTAACCCCTGCTAGGTAAGGCTCACAAAACCGAGATTTCTGTTTTGATTTAAACATTCCCTGGCAGCTCAGACACGGGAGAACGAGTACACTACCGGGCGTGTTGTCTCCGTGCTGTGCAAATCAAAAGCCAGCCAGAACGATAAGTGACCGCGGTTAAAGTATTTTCATGTTGAATGACCTAAAGTGTTGCACACCACAGCTCAGGACAGCTGTGCGGGGATTTTCAAGCCGGATTTTTATTTTGACAGCAACTCTTCACGAGGACTGCTGCATTTTGCTCAGATCAATAACCTCCCATACCCATAGCGAACTGGTACCTTATTCCTGGCATCAGTTTTTACTTCCCTTCAACTGATGCACGTTTTTGCTGTGTGACATTACTGCGAAAGACAGATCGAAGAAGTCCCTTTTCTATCTTGTTCTGGGTGTTCAGGAAGCTGGTTCATAACACCAGCCCTTCAGGACAGCTGGGAAATGGTTAAGCTGTTGATCAGCTGCCAAGGACACAAGTGCTGGGAACACCAGGGTCGGAGTGTGTGACTTTGGCACCAGATCAATGGTCAGTTAGGTCACTTTCCCCACATAAAATCCAAGAAAACTGCACAGCTTGTTCCCCGTGCAATGCAAGTCACCGCTCCCAGGGGCGGTTACGATACTCTCCAAGTCCAAGAGGTTAAGGTAGCTGCAGTACCACACTACAATAAAATCAGATACTCTAGCTTTCTCGGGGAAGCCTTCCCACTGCTCTGCTAGAGTCACTGCTGAATGGTCAGAGGAATCTAATGTGCATTGCCAATATCACGCAGGGCAAACCCACCCACAAGAGGCAGTATCCCGAGTTGCTGAGTTTTAGAACTAGGGTCCCCCAGACACATTCCCAGAAAGCTGTTTCCAACTCAGTCCCCCAGACACATTCCCAGAAAGCTGTTTCCAACTCAGTCCCCCAGACACATTCCCAGAAAGCTGTTTCCAACTCAGCCCTTTAACATTTTTCATGGAAAGATCAATTTTATTTTCAACTCTGTTCAGCTCAGGTTGGTCTCCAACCCAGCCCTTGGGGCAACATCAGGATGGAGCCAGTCTCCTTGGATAACGAGGGGGCTCTCTGGCTGCACACAGCCCCCTAACTCGTCCCAGTTTTAATGCAGATCAGGTAGCTGACAGAACCATGGTGCTCTTGAAAAAACATTCAAGCACAGCAGAGGGTGAACTCCACAACAGCTGCTCCGGCTCACACGTGTTCACTGCTACACTGGCTCTAGCCTTCCAAATACACATGAAGTTTCTCTAATAGCATTGCTCTTTGGTTCTAACAATTCCAGGTTCAGAACAGAATGAGACCCGGCTGCGTCAAAATGGAAGCAGATGCCTAAATTCCAACCCTCCCCAAGTTATGAGTTTATCTTAAAGCACTGGAGAAAGAAGTTTGCCATTGGTACTTCTGTGGCCCCCATCACAGCAGTAGCCAACCGTCTCACAATCCCATGCATTTATCCCTTCCTGTGAGGTAGGGCAGTGCTCTTATCCCCCTTGTACAGATGGGAAAATGAGGCACAGAGAGGCTAAGTGACTTGCCCAAGCTCTCACCGGAAGTCTGTGGCAGAGGTGGGAATTGAGCTGGGGTCTCCCAAGTCCCAGGCTAACCACTGAACCTTCTCTTTAGACACAGAGAAGCGTGCCCTAGGTTAGGGAAAGCTTCCCACATCCTCCTTCGCCCGCGAGCTCTTGCCTTGACAGACCCGTTAGGCAACCTGGGGCAATTCATTCCCTAGCCCACACGCCCAGCCCAACTAGCACTGTGGAGTACTCTGCCCAGAACGGGATCGCAATGCCACATTTCACACAAGCCAGCCAGCCACCACCACACACCATGGTCCCAGCATTTGAATCTCTTGGGGTAGAATCAAGCCAGGGAACAGGATTTGGAGCCCAAGCCATGCAGAGTCCCCAAAGTAATAGTAGGTTTTAGCCTTACCTGTACTATGTCCAGCACCATGCCAGCCGCTACCGTCCCAAACCCGGCCAGCAGGAAAGGGAAGAGGACCTGCAGCCCGATGGAGAAGGAAGTCTCCTTGAGAGGGGAGGCAGGCTCGGGGCCCTGATCCGTACTGGTGTCGTCGCTCTCGTTGCTCTGGCTGCCGTTCTCCAACAGGGCGTCCTCTTCTCGTACCCCTTTGGCATTGGCCCGGGACTCCAGCACCGCCACCGCCACCTCCACCCCTTCCCCGTCAGGCTCCAAGAACTCCGAGGGCTCCACGAGCTGCTGCCGGTCCGGACTGGCCAGGCAGTCCACGGGCACAGCCACGATTGGCAGCACCACCCCATTGGTCTGGTGAGTCTCCTTCTGTTCCAGCTTGGAGGACATGCTGAAGGGTGAATGTCCCCCCGACCCTCAACCTGGTGGGGCTACAGTAGGCAGCTGTCCCAGAAAAGACCTGCCCGGGGCTTAAGCCAATGCCCCTTCCGGCATCTAGATACCACCTCCTTTGTTCTTGTGCACCTGCCCTCGACTGCAGAGGCTGATCCCCTAGCAGAGATCCCCATCAAGCACAATCCAGAAACGGGAGACACCAACCACCAAGCCGGCAGAGAAGCAGGAGGAGATTCCAGATACAACCGCTTGGCTCCGGTTCTCCTGTTCCCAGAAGAACGAGCCGTAGAAGCACACGCAGTCTCCCGGATTCTCTTCTTTGGTTCTTGACACCTTAGTGCATCTTCTTCCAACACGCAGAATTCCCCCACCCAGCCCTGGCTCCAGCAGCTGGACTCGTACTCAGTTGCTTTTAAGGGGAAGCGGGGAAAACATAAAACAGAGTCAAAGAGTCTTTCAAACCTGGGTGTTACAAAGCAGGATTTTATAATAAAGTTCAAGGGGAGTGGAATTTGGGTTCTATCCTTTTAAAAGAATAAATAAAGTTCCCTTGATTTCAGCTCCTTGGGTCATTCCAGTTTAATTACTTCGCCAGGCAAGGAACTGGGAGGATCAGAGTTTAAAAATAAAGCACTGCCTGAATGAACTCTCTTCTTCAGAGCTACAGATCTGCTTTCTTCTTCCCAGGGTCCTTGCTTTCACGGGGAGACAGTGCAGAGGAGTCTTGGTTGGTGTCTGGCAGCTGACAGCACTGGCCTTCTCATGCCTTGTAGCCTCTTTTCCCTGCCCTCTGCAGAACAGCTGGGTCACCAGCAAGCTCCAACTGCAGCAGTGAGCCTCTGCGTCCTCCTGTGTAAGGGAATCTCTCACCTTACAACACGTGGCAGGGATGACTTAACTAAAGGAACAGGAAGTTCCCAGATAGGGTTACTTGGTGAGCCTAGTTAGTGCTGGCAGGGATGCTGGCATTGAGAGACTGCCTGGTTCACACCCACGCTCCAGAGACTGCTGCACTCTTTCACCTTAAAACAGGAGAGAAACAAGGGATACAAATATTTTATCTAACCTTTCCGCAGTCAGCACAATGGCGCATTCATTCAGCAACACTTCCCTCCCATGCACTGGCCTTCAATGGCTTTACTATTCTGCTCTCCAGAACTATGTTGCTGAGCTAGTTAACCCTCCCCCACAACTCCTGGCACACACAGCAGTGGGACAGTGTCAAATGGGGGAGGGGGGAAGGGGAGGAGGTACAGATCACATGGCTTATGCAGGGTGACCGGTCTGCCCTGTTCTGTTCCTCCCACCCAGACCATACATCTCCCATCACCTCTTCCAAGCCTGTAAAGTCCTGGTTGGGATGCTCATGCACCAAAGTCACCAGACAGGGTGAACAGATGTGCTCAGTCCAGAGGACAAATACTATTGTTCAGCCATTGAGAGCCACTGTTGCAACACGAGGCAAGCAGATGCACACGTCCCCAGATGGCCTGCTGCAGGCTCCAGACGTGCCGGACAGCAGAGCGGAACATTTCCCCAGCTGACACATGGGTCGGCAGCCTCCGAGGTCAAGAGCCAAGATTTCCCTGATACTTTGCAATAAGCATGAGAGCAAGCCATAGAGCAGGGGTGGGCAAAATACAGCCCGCAGGCCGAACCCGGCCCATCTTACATTTCTATCCGGCCTCCTCTGCCCCTTCGCGATCTCCGAGGCTGGGCTGCTAGAAGTCCCACAGCACAGCAGGGTGATCAGGCAGGCTGCATGCCTGCCTGCCGTGGCCCCACATCACTCCAGGAAGCAGCTGGCTGCTGCTGGCACGTCTCTGCGTGCCTGGGGGGGGAGGAAGGCAGCTCCGCGCGCTGTCCTGGCCCCCAGCACCGTCCTCACACCGGAAACTAGCCAATGGGAGCTGCAGGAGTGGTGCTTGTGGGTGTGGGCAGCGCATGGAGACCCACTGCCCCTCTTCCCCCCCAAAGGGGCGCGCAGAGATGTGCCAGCAGCATCCGGCCGCAGCTGCCTCCAGGAGCGGCGTGGGGCCATGGCATGCAGGCAGCCTGCCCGAGCCCTGCTGCACCGCCAGCCGGGAGCCAGCCAGAGCCTGCACCTCGTACCCCCTCCAACACCCCAACCCCAGGTCAGAATCCCCTCCTGCACCAAACTCCCTCCCAGAGCCCACACCCTCTCCTGCACCCCAACACTCTGCACCAGCCCAGAGCTCCCTCCTGCACCCAAACCCCGCACCCCCTCCATTAATAGAGTAGAAATGTGCAGCCCATGACGACTCACCAAAATCTGCGGAGTGGCACCCCTGCAAAAATTATTGCCCGCCCCTGCCATAGAGGGAACCATGGTTAACAGGCATAGTCCTGAGCAGGCTGGTGTGTGCGCACTGCTGCCCTCTGCTGGACAGAATCACAAGTGCTCCATGGACATCATGGGCTTTGGATTGCTAGGGGAGCTGGAAGATCAGAGCTCTCTCCCTGCTACTCTGCAGTACAGTGAAGTAACTTCTGTGTTGTGGTACAAAAACCCCCTAGCGAGTACTGAGTTCTGCTCAGTGCTGGCTGGGGCTCAAGCACAAAATGAGCACCTGCCCTTCTCCCCAGACACAATCCATTCGTATCATATGTGGAAGGGGGGGCATGTAATAAGCAAATGCATTTTACCACACTGAACCATCACTACGTTTGTAAGAAGAAGAACAGGAGTACTTGTGGCACCTTAGAGACTAACAAATTTATTAGAGCATAAGCTTTCATGGACTAAAGCCCACCTGCAGCCC